ACATCACTATGGGCGCGCTATGCACACCACAATTTTATACAGCTTACATTTCTAAAACAATGGACGAAATTAGAAAAGTAAACTCTGCGTGGCGAGTAGCAAATCGATGCAACGAAAAGAAGCAGAATAGAAGAGGGAAAAGAGAGAGGAGAGGGGGAGTTGCGACGAAACTACCCTTTATACCATTTCAGATCACATGACAGCTTAATGTCCAGATGTTGGGTTCAGATTTCATCGATAAGTGCGCATCAGAACTGCAGGGAGTTTAGTTAGAAAAATTATTGCTCTGGTTATTTTTAGAATGAAAACGAAAGTTAAAGGGTTATTATTAATTTATTATTTGAAAGACAGATATTTTATATTTTGCATATATCTATCTATCTATCTATCTAGTCCCCGTTAAACATTTTTAACAATTTACATTCAAGTTACTTCAAAACATCTTTCGAAACAGAACTTACTAAGTATGGATTCACTCTTTTCAGATAATTCTACTATAATTAATCTAAGGAGATAATATAATCAATATTATTTAGTAAATAAATTATTATTAACTTGCTTTGCAGCAATTGCGCAAGTAGTAGAATAACTCGATTTCGCACTAAGTGAATTTAAGATCATATAATATATACACTATATATAGTATATATATATATACTATATATATATATATATAAATAGAAACATAATAATATGCCAAAAATATATAAAAACACACACGCACATATATACAGTTGGCTTTCTTTGCTTATTTAGAGCATTTTAAATTTTGATAAAAACATTGAAAGGGAAACATGTGATTTTAGAAATATGCCAGAAGCGTTTAGTCATGACGTCGTGCAAAGTATCCTTCGATCGTAAAAGAAATTGATAGTGACGACAAAGAAGTTTCAACCCAAATCACTATGCATGAGGCCTGCGAAATGTTAAATGCATTTGCGAAATTTGCCGGGAGAGAGGCCTAAATATAATATTAGGGAACTAATAAATATTCGTATGGAATAACTTAATAATGGGGGGGGTGTCCTTTATTAAGTTATACCATACGAATGGTATAACATATTAAAGGGCGTCAGAAACTATGAAATATTTAACTTTTACTTAAAAAGAAGAAAGGATTTCATCTGCTGTCAAAGCATGGTTTCTTAAACTTTTTCCAGTCGCGACCCCCTTTTATTAGTGAGATTTTTTTGGCGACGTCCAGGACCCTATAATATTCACAAAAATTTTGTGGACCCCCCCCATAAGTATTGCGCAAATCCGACGCACCTGTGAGTGGAACTGTCATTTTTTTCACTTGTACTGTAATATACTATTGCAGTTTTAGGTCATTAACTTTAATTTCTAATTTTAAGACATAAAACAATGTGAAAATTTTAAATAAGTAGCAGACGAAACGACAGCGTCACGTGCAAAGCAAGAAAAATGAACATTTATATTAAAAAAAGAATGCGTCGAAACGTTTTCGTTTTTTTATTTGTCTGTATTGTCTTATCTTTATCTATTTTCAGATACATTGTGTAAAAATATTTGGTAATTGTAAAATTATTATGATAAGTTAATGATCAAAACTGCTAAAACTTTTGGCGACCCCCTGGTGCAGGTGCCGTGACCCTTTTGCGGGTCGTGAACCACAGTTTAAGAAAACCTGGTCTAGAGCGATGACTTCAAAGCAAAAACTAGTTAAATAAATTAAACCGCGATTTAAATTTATTTGCTCTATATGTTTTACACACGAAATATGTTTGTAGAATAGTATTTGAAATTCATTTTCATTCTTCAATGCATTCAATAATACGAAAAAATTTGTTTTGTGGAACTATGCAACTTTAATCCGGTAACAGGGTATCTATAAAGTCCCGAGTGTGCCAGAATATCGGACTTTTGCTGTACTTAAACAATCAGTCATTCGATGTAGCCTTTCACAGTGTAAGAAACACACATATCATTTTTCCTGCTTTGAAAAAGATTTCACTTGCTTCGTTTGTAAACTAACAGCAGTCAATATTTTAGAAAATACGTTAAGTTTTAGTAACATTAAAAGTTCACAAGTATTTAAAATTTTTATATAAGTCAACCAGATGTCTGAAAATCTAACAGGTGGTAAGTTTGCAAGAAAATGACGCACAGGCCAAAAGGTAGATGAATTCTTTTGACTGGATAAATATTTAGGTTACATTTTCACCGATAGAGGGCGCTCTGCCGATCGCGATCAGATTAATACAGGAATCTCTACATTCGTATGCGAGAAAATCGACATATACACGCAAGGCGCAATGATAATTGCTCATGATTTCCGCCAACAAAAGAAATTGCTCAACATCATTTACACGGCTATTCGGATTGTACGGTTCGACGCTACTCTAAATGGCAGCACGTAAAGTCAAGAATCGTACACAGACGGACTTTTCATCCCGTCTTACATTTTAAGTACAGTACACAAAACTAAAGTTTATATTATATGAAATATGTTATATTTATATGAAACTTTAAAATAAATCTATGTATTATCACGTCCGCCTGACTTTTAGTAAATATTAAGTAGACTTTAGTTAAAGTAAACTAGAAAGTTTGAAGTCAAAATATGAATTACAACACGCGCCTAAATAAAATTTGGCCCCAGGCTCTAAATATTTGAGAAGCTAAAGCTAATTAATCAATCAAGTAGATCAACGACATTTCAATTACATGGTAAATAGGCGTACCCTACATCATCAAAGATTAAATATTTGCGGCTGGAAGATGAGTTCCATGTATAGGAAAAATTTCGAGTCTAATGAAATGCTTGCCCTCTGCAGGAAAAGAGAAGTAAGAAGTCGTAACAGAGTAACCAGCCAGTGACAGCTGCCGCAATCTCTCTCTCTCAAACTCAAGAAATCTATGCTTATATACGTTGATTAATTTGCATCCTAGTGGGAGTTAACGAAAGTAGAAGTGGTAATAAAAAAAGATATGCAGGTTTAATAAACATAAAATCCTACAATGGTATTGTCGATAGGTTAGAGAACTCTTGTCAATGCATATTTGAACCAATTATTTACACCCGGGGAAAAAACTTCTCGTCGTAAAAATATTTTGTTCAAAGAATACAATTATACCACGAATTATTTAAAATCTTTACAGATTTTGAACAATCTTATTATAATTAATAATGTATCTTATTATCTATTGTATAGTCATAATTTTACTATCACTTTCTAAAACCTTTACGTAATTAAAGATTTTAGAAAAGGATTTTCAGAGTTGAAATTTATACGATTGTATACACAGTTAAGTAGAGGGAAATAAGAAAACTAAAAGTGTTCAAATGATTAAAATCGTTTAACGTTATGTATTTCCGTCTAAGCCAATCAAAGAAACCGACTGAGTTAGATTATTTGCGTAAATTTTCTATTATACGAATGCACATATTATGTAAGTACAAGGCAGAATAAAACAAATATTTTTAGGGAAAGAGATCCTTCTATAATCCACTGTATTACCTTACTATAATTTGAACCAACCACTGACCAGATATAAGATTAATGAATAAATTCCATTAAAATTTAAATCGCGTATTAAATTTTAGCATGCACTGGAAATTATTAAAAATAAACTAAAACTATTTGCTCTCTTTTACACGTGTAAACAAACAATATCAAAAGCAAAACTATCTTCTGAATTTAACCAATTTACTTACTTTAAAATCCAATTCTAAACCTTAAATTGAATTACATTCGAAAGTATCTGAACAATTTACACCTAAAAATTACAAGCACAAAGCAAGAATTTAATTTAAATGTACACTCAGTGATATAAAGAATGCCTGTCTACTTCTGTTCTACAAACTATGTCAGTGTTTCTCATGTGCAATTTTATCACATGAAAAATGTTGAACAATTAATTTTTAGGTACTCTTTGTTATCGGGATCGGGTCCAAAAATGTATATTTGTACGCATGTATATATGGAAGTACGTGTTTATGTATGCGGGTATATATGTACATACGTATGTATGTGCGTGTATACACACATATATACACACAGACAGACACACACGTGCATACATACTTACATTTCTGAATCCGGTCCCGATAACAGAAGAGTACCAATTTTTAATTAATGAATATTATTTTATTTTTTCCTTTTTCACTCAGGGGATGTTTTTTACCTTTGAATAAATAACAAGTTATAATAGTAATTGATACCTAACGGCTTACTAAACAGTGGACATAAACAGCCGAGGAGCAAAAGCAGTTAGCGACAGATGATACAGTGGATTTCTCGTTAGCGATAGGCGATATAGTGGATTTCCCGTTGGGATGATGATTCTCCAAACCCAGGATTTGGCGATTGGGTCGCCCTTTAAAAGTGGGGGAGTATATAAAGTATTTCTCCCGCCTTCTTAGCATGCCTTCGCAGTGTAGTGGTCAGCACGCTGGGCGCGTATTCGAGAGGTCCGTGGTTCGATTCCCGGTGAGGGCGTTGCTCATTTTTCATCTTGCCTGCTTAAAAAAATTACCTCATGTCTCTACAAAGTGGCAGAATTTTTGGATTTTAATTTCCCTGCAAATTTAATTACAATATAAAATTTTTAATTTTGGCGACATGAATACCATCTCTACTTATTCTTGCTCAACTTTGCTATTATACGTATAATAGCTCGTATAATGATTAGTTCAGGAGTCAAAAAACATTTGCGCGTATTTGTACGAAAAGGACATTAAAAAAAATTTAAAAAAACAAAAATAGTTGCGTTTTTACGAGTACAACTCGTGAACGCAAATGTGAGATTCGGTTTCGAATTACCTTACTGAACGTTATACGAATAATAAATAGTATCTGTCTCAGTTCTAAAGCTGAAAAACCAACGCTACGTGCAGTTAAGCAATTTAAGGATTGGAGACCAGTTAATCTAGGCTTCATTCACTCCCCCATTCTTTGCAAATAATGTCACATATTATGATTTCAGCCTTCAGGCTTGTCTGGTTTGAGATTTGTAATTACTTTCTAGTCACTCACCTCAGAGGATTCTCTCTTTTTTCTATCCAAGCTGTCTTTTCCATTCTTGTCAGATCTGTTTCCTAGCCTTGGTGACGCTTGTCCATTGAGCATCGTACTCTGCTGGCAGAATAAACCTTCAATGGTTTCGAAGTCCAAGTCGTTCGGGCTTCCATCGTGAGCTTTTGCAATAAGCGACCACAAATTATTTTTACCTACAACCTAAGTTAGAAAATTTAAATGAATGGAAGAAATTTTACATGGAAAATATACTCGAGTTAAATTATCTCACAGTTAATTGAGAAATTCTGATTGCATTACTCATGAAAATATACTTAAAAAAGTAGTTGGTAAATTGCTTTTAAAATAATCATTTGAATGGATAATCTTATTATATAAATGATATGTTTCAAGAGGTAAGTTTTAGATAAAATCCATCACTCAAACACGAAACCAAATTCTGGGGAAATTGCCTCCACATATATACATCCATATATTTATTATCGATATTATCTAATTGCAAAGCTAGACTATTAAACATAGTTTTCTTTCTACATGATTTTCAAAAACATTCAGCAGATTTCAACTAAATTTGAAATTCCTAAGAGTTCAACATTTAAAATTTATAAAACAATTAAAAATTTCTGTCTAAGTTTTGAAAATATATTAAAATAATTTTTTAAGCATGAAAAATCAGTTAAAAAAATTTCAGCTAAGTTGAGAGTTAAATTTAATTTGCCAGTTTCACGAATTTAGATTTTAGTAATTCGTCGAACCGTATTCTGCTAAAGCAATTGATTATTTGAGGTTTTATTCTATAGAATAGGAAGTACGTGATTAGGTGATGACATAACAAATGTTATAAACTTTAGTAAAAGCAAATTTTATAAGCCCAACAATGCAAAATTTATTGCTCTTAAAGGAATAATAAAGGAATTGCTCTTAAAAGAATATTCTTTTATAAGCAATAAATTTAGAATTTCCTTACTGCCTTTGCCTCACAATTGGAACTCCGAATTTAGAGTTTTGTATCATAGCAGAAAATTACAGCTGTGGCGATCATTAAATACACTAAGAAAATCCGTTTTTCTTTGGGTTTCCATACTCAGGAATCAATTGGTAGAGTTAAAATCTAAAGTACCGATTAAGGTTTTCAATATTTACCTGACAAATTTAGCAGAATACCTAGTTTTTGTTTGAAAAATAGTAGGGTATACTTACACTTCTTTAACACGAAAAGACGTTCTTCAGGCCCTATTCACAAAAATGAGGTACACTTCAGATTGTCAGGATTCTGCACTTCTGGGGATTTATGAATTTTCGCAGTCTAAAAGTTAGTGTTTCGCAGTCTAAACGTTAAGTGCTCAAGTGCGAATTCATATTTATGTTAAGAATACGCATTTTCTTAACTGAAAAGAAGAAATTAGGAAACATTTCTGTCCATATTGCTTCGAGGAAGTTATTTTTTAGGGGGGGGTAGAGTACATTGATGCTAATTTTGCAGTGAAAAATGAATATCGAATTTAGAAATTTCAAATCACAACTCCCCAAATTCTAGAACATATGTAACAAGGAAACGGAAGAGCGTATTAGAATTGTATTATACCATACACAATTTGGAGTATTTCATATTACTCCTTCAGCTACAGCAGTCTGTGCGTTACTAATTTGGTTTATATTTTTTTTTGTTATTGTGATCGATTCACTTACAAAGAAGCCTGTTCAGTTACAAAGAATCGCCGATATTTAAAAATTAATAGAAATTTAGTAGAGAGTTTTGCATTTTACTAATTAAAGCCGATTAAGATTTGTACGTTTAATTAAATAACGCAAATACATGAGAATGTCTATAAAACATTCTCACCTTGTTACTTGGAATTTTTGTCCAGTTTAAGGATTTCATCTTGTTTTTTGGCTTGGGAGTAAACTGTTGAGGGAGCTTTACTGCTTGAGATTCTGCGGTCGGAGTTGAGGGTTTCACGGTTGTACTGGGCATAGTTCCTGGAGGAGGTGGAGGTGGTGGTGGGAGACCAGGGGGTGCTGGAGGCGGAGGAGGAGGTGGTGGCAAAGTTGCATTGGATCCTGGAGGAGGGGGAGGCGGAGGTGGAGGTGGTGGTGGTGCAGGTGGAGCTCCAGCATTAAGTGGAGGTGGAGGAGCCGGCGGAACTCTTGGAGGAGGTGAAATTGCTCTGGAGAGGGATGCCAAAAGTTCAGGACTGAAAGCCATCGATGAATTGGCAGGACTAAGTATACCCGGTGTCCTTGATCCGTCTGTCGTACCAAAAGACAGTTGTAAAGGTGTTCGCTTTCGGGTTCGCCCTTCCATGGTGACACACGTATTTTCTCCATTATTATGACAGGAACACTGACAACGGCCTCCAGTTTCTTGAAGCCCTCTGAGCAGTTTATTCAAACTGTGATGGTAGCTTGGTGTCTTGAGGAGTTTTTCAGTGTCTTCTTTGGTTTCGCAAAGAGTTGCACGATGCACTAGCTTTTCTGCAGCATCCCAGATTATATCGGAAACTGGCAAGGAAGTATCCACCCGAAGAAGATGCTGTAGAATGTTAAGAAACGGTATCTCCAGAGGAGTCTCAGTCACCTGAAAAGCATATTTTAAAGAAATGGTCACTTGTTTCAACTTTAATACATTTAATATTAGAAACAATCAAGACATCTATGCATAATATATCATAATTAATCTTCTTTGTCTTTTTGTATTAATTGAAAATTGTCATTATTTTACAGAAGATAATACTGTAACACAAGGAACCTAATTGAGCTAAAAGTATTCCTTGAAATTTTTCTTAATGAATAAAAAGTGTGTTTTGTTTGAAAGTATAATACATTGTTGTATAATATAAATATTTAAATAACAGGTCTACATTTGGTGTTCATGATTACACATGCAGATTTTCGTTCATAATGAGGACATCAGTGATGGATATTTAGGTAAAACATTCATATTTATAATTTTTTGCTCGTACCTGCAGTACCGCGGCATATAGTCGTATGAAAAACCTGCGATGAATGTAAATGATTCTAAAATAGTCCAAAAGATAAATTAGAGTTTTAGTAAAGGATTTTTAAAATCGATTATTATTTTGTATTTATATATAATATCCCAATACCAAATTTTATATTAATACATGTATGATTTGCGGTGTTAAAAAGAAGAGGTTGCTTTAAATACTAATAATAAAGAAATTATTTAATAAAAATTTCTTGCCTAGGATTCTCACAAGATGTTTAACCTAATATTCACAAAAATATATCCGAACTAAAAATCATTTAGATTAAAGAACACAATTTCATCAAAATTTGAAAGAAAAATTATGATGTTATAAAACTGACTTCATTAATTAACACCATCTTTAAATCTCACAGTTAGCACCCTCGGCTTTAGCATTACTTCGCAATTTGTATTTGTCATTCAGTGCAATAATTTCATAAATTTTAGTAATCCTGCACATGTGTTTCATCAATATGAAGAAAAAATAATTTTATCATTAAAAATTCAATACTGTGTAATATTCTGTGACACAACGAATTAATGTATCGTCAAAGAGCAATAGAACGATTATGTGATCTTTCTTGTCGAACAAAAGTAAACGGAAAGTTCTGGAAAAATTCTTAGGAACGGCTAGATAGCGTCTGATTTGCGTAATGGAAATATATATATGGATTATATACACGAATAAATATATCTTATTTACGTTCTGGTGACTCACAGAACATAAGTTTTTAGGTTAGTTTAAAAAAATATATATATTTTACTGTCAGTACCAAACGCATGAATAGGTATTAGTACTCTCTTTTTATTGGCTAGAATTTCAAGAAAAAAGTATTTCTTAAATTTTTTTACAAATTCTTTAAAACAATTTTTTTTTCAATTTTTAAAACATTTTCTAAATAATCTAGCTGATAATTATAAGGTATTTGCTCCCTTCTTTCCACCTTCGGGGGAAGTAACTGGATAGCATATATGGCCAGCAATCAGGAGGTTTAGCGTTCGAATCCCGGCAAGGGCTTTGCGCATTTCTTCAGTTCCTGATGTTGAAAAATTCTAAAAGATTCAACGGAAGCGCCCAAAGTAAAAGGTGGCGGACGATAATTCGTCACCACTAGAATTTGACGACTGAGTCCCCTTATGTCCTGTCGCCCTTTAAGGTATTTTCTTTTCGCTAGCCTTCGTGGTGTAATTGGAAGCACTCCCGACGCTTAATCAGAAGGGCGAATCCAAACGAGGGTATTGTACGTTTATCTCACTCTATTCTGTTTTAAAACTCGACAATCGACATGGAAATGGTGGGTAATAAAAAAAATTGAAAATAGAGCGTCGATAGACAGTGAGCGTGGATAGACGTGACAGGCAATAAATACTACGAGTACCGCTAAAACAAAACTGACAGAACTGCCAATGCCTTGTTCTACGATAACGGCAGACAACAAAATGCGACTATGACACCCAGCAGCAAGACATGTGTCATTATTGACAACATCTCAACTTGATAATCGGTAGTTGCGTTAGATCGCGTAATTTGATTTACTCAACATTTTATCACGTGAAAACGATATTAAGCAGCAGGCCTGATAACAACAGGCGTCGAGGCGGATTTGGTCCGCGGGTCGTAGTTTGCTGTGGTTTAATGTAATGTAAGCATGGTTTAATGTAATGTAATTGGTTTAATGTAATGTAATTGCATGAGGGGCAATTCATTAAAATGAGAAAAGATTCAGATTTTCTAATGCAGAAGAATGACAGCAAAAGCTATAAAAGCAGTACATTTCTTTATAACTAGAATGTTTAAAAGTTAAAAAATGGAATTCATAAAAGCCTAAGAGGCATTTTATGATGAAAGAATGCTAAAACGTTTTACATCGTTATTGTATTTTTCTACTTTATGCAGAAGGCAATAAAAAGGATTTGTATCATCTGTATCTTACCTGTCTGAGTATGGCATAGAAAACATCTTGATGACTGTTTAGATCCACTCCATTAGGTCCAACTAGTTGGCTTTCATCTGAATATTTATGCTCGTCGAAGATATCCAATTGAACTAACAAATCACATTCAGGGCTATCTGAAAATCTTGATCTGCAAATAAAGAAGAAAATTCATTAACAGTTTCGAAAACATAGTTTTCATGTAAAGCATTTTGAAAGTACATAAGTTTTGAATGAGTAATTAATGTAACTTTACTCGCCAGTGAAATATGAAGGATTTCACTCTAATAATAACGAACTTCAACAGCTGAAGAAATTTAAAAGTAATGAAAATTTGAGGGATTAATCAAATTAACTCAATAAGCTAGCTTTTAAATTAAGGTAATAATTTCGCATTTTGAGTTTTATTCAACATTTGTTAGAAGAGGTACTGATAACCATGTTTTATCTACAACACCGAAAACAGAGACTCTGGAGCAGGCGTGTAAAACTTGCGGCCCTTGACCAATTTTTTGAGGCCTTCGGTTTGTAGAGACATTAGGTATTTTTTAAATCAGGGAAGATGAAACATTAGCAACGCCTTCGCCGGGAATCGAACCGCGGACCTCTGGAATACGAGCCCAGCGGGCATACCATCACACCACGAAGGCATGCGAAGAAGGCGGGAGAAATACCTTATAGGTTGATTTCAAGAAAATAAGAAAAGTGATATAATTATAATAACATATTAATAAATATTGGAATTCCATCAAAAAAACCTTGACTTGGAACACTTCCCAGTTTGTGCTAAGTACGAAACAAGTTCAGAGAAGCAAGTTGCACAAATTCAGAGATGTGGGTATGCCCGTGTTTTACAGGTTTTTACATCTATGTTTCCCAGAAATACGAAACTTTCAGTTGTATGTGATTTACATGTTCGCTAGTACATAACAGTATGTACAACTTTTGTCGCTTATAAAACGAACACGGCTCAATCAAGATTTAGATTAACCGACATTCGGCTAACTTCTCTTCCGAAGCGCGAACAGCATGTTTCCGGATATCGGAAAGCCGGTTACAGGGGAAAGAATGCTAGATGTCAGTTAAAAAACTTAGGTATCCATTTGTTACTCTGATTCTCCCTTATGTTCCTATTATTTCTTAAGGAATTACTGTATTAGATTAAATTTTATGTTTTCACTCACTTTTCAAACACACTATTAAGTTTGGAAATGATGTTTTTATTTCTTTCGGCCCTCACTAGTCGCGAACTGGCGCGCTTGAGATACTGAGTTTGATATGCCTGATCTAGACCACGGATTTGGCACTGTAACCTTTTCATACGCAAGTTATGGTCTTTCTCTCAAAAGCGTATTAGCTCTTTTTTTCCTTTTCTTTCTTTTTCTTTTTTTTAAAGGAACATCAAACTCAAAATATTTACATAAATATATATTGTATATGTAATTTTAAAAATGTCGTACAGAGAAGAAGAGATAAGTCTTTAAAAACGGGAACACATGGGAAAAAAGCATTTAATTCCTTACATTTCTCCTATTGAAGACAACTGAGGAAGAACAGACGACACCACACACTTAACCCTAGTTTAATGATGAATTATCAACTGCCATTTTAATCCACGCACCAGATGTGATGAAAAGAAGAATTCGGGAGAAAGGTATTGTTGAAATATCGATGCATCATTGTTCGGAGCTGAGCACAGGACCTTCAAACTACCATCTCGGTAAGCTGACTGTTTACGCTACAACAGCACAAGAAAGGAATGCCTTTCATTGCTTAGGATATAAGGTATTTCTCCCACCTTCTTAGCGAGCCTTTGTGGTGTAGTAGTCTGCACGCTCAGCGCGTAACTGAGAGGTCCGCAGTTCGATTCCCGGCGAAGGCGTTGCTAATTTTTCATCTCTCCGGCCTCAAAAAATACCTAATGTCTGTACAAGGATAGGTACTACATCATCATTATTCCTGGAACGAGAAGCATGTCAGAAAAATAATTTTTCCCGAGAATGAAGAAATATAATAGTCTGACTAGAGAATGTAAGTATATAGGAGACAGTTTCTATTGTCCGCAGTCTTCCCGCTTTCTGGCCATATACACATTTTGGAGGAGGCTCGATATCGTTATTTTCAACAAAATGATGCCTTGATTCCAAAAGCAGGCGCAGCATACTACCTATTACTGTAATAAAGACAATATGCTTCAAACTCTTACGCAATAAGGCAGAAATATTGTATGTATGCAATACTTTAGTGAGCCAAGGAAAAAATGAAAGTAAACTTAGCTGCTGCATCGTAAAAGAGGAGAGAAATGAAAACAGAAGTCAAAGTGAGCAATTTACTGTACAGAATTAGTAACGCATTACATGCATGTATATATGTGTATGTAGGTGTGTGTGTGTAGTGCAGTGCTACAATCCACGGGCAAAGTGTTCCAAGACTTAACGCGATTATATGAAGCCAGCGCAAAATAGAACGCTATATCATATCTCATGAAGCATGAGCAAATGCAGTAAAATGTAGTCAATAATCAACTCAGAATAAGTGTTACTAACATTTGAATAAAATAACAATAAAGTGAGCCCTATTCTGCATCTTGCAGTTACATGAGAGGACAGGAGTAAATGTGTGAGAAGCAGGAATTTCTCGAAGTGGTATCACAGGTATAGACCTACAACACTAACTGTTCACCTCCGTTCCTGTTTTGGTACAGTACACCGGGAAACAGATCAGAGGACTTGTCATTCCTCTTCCTCTGATGCCAAAACACTCGAAGAGGACTTTCGGCTCGCTCGAACCCAGGTTAATAAAAGATGTAAGGAAATTAGAAACAGCTACAGCTTAAGTGCAATTAAAATAACTGTTCAGTTTAAGTAACACGCATATATGTATATACAATATGAAGAATCGCGGCCAGCGACTAATTAGCTGGAGCTTCAGCGCATTTCAACCGAGCATCCAGATGCATACAATAGAGAACATTCCAATGCGAAACCATAACTTCCATGCGAATGCGGTTCTCTCCACCGATTTTGGACTCTACCAGTTCCTCGCAGTCGCGTTCGCGAACAGTATAAGCAGATATAACCATTTGAGAGAGTACGTGCAAGTTTACTAATGAAATGTCAAATTGCAGGATCGCTAGATATTTGGGTCGATGATAATGATAGGAATGGGCGAACCATGGCCATGTACTGAACCATACAGAGCGTTAAGAAGGTAGTGGTTGACCAAGAGCGACGACAGAATGTGAGGACAAAGTGATCATCCGATCGTCGCTCACAGCCCCTGATGCGTCTTTATCAACTATCCGACGTGTAACCGGAGTACCAGTGACTGCAATGGCCATTGATAGGCAACGTTATGGTCACGGAAGCTATTACGCGGACTACCCCTCACCACTGCGCACCGCGAGGGACATTTTACGGTGGTATCGGGTGCATTAGACTTAGGATCTCAAGCAGCGGAATAGAACAGTTTTCAGCGATGTGTCTCGCTTCGAAATGAGACCCGATAACTAGCGAAGACCTGAGACTTTCGGGACAGCCGTGGGATACTCACCTGACTGTTGTTCTCCACACAGCCGACAATGAGGATTTATGATATGGGATGCCATTTCATTTGATAGCCGTATCCCTTTGGCTGTCATACGTGACAATATTACAGCACTGCAGTACGTCGAAAAGATTATACGCCCAGGAGTGTTGTCCTTCCTTTCACAGACCCATGGGTTTACATTTGAACAGGATAATGAACGAACGCACATGGCACGCCTTTCTACTGCTTGTATTTCTGCTTCTTCAAATCTTCCTTGACCGGCACGATCTACAGATCTCTTTCCCATTAGAGTGCGTTTAGGTTATGATGAGCAGGTGACACCGACTGTCTCTGGAAATCACCGATCTAACTTGTCAGTTGGAACGTGTATGGCAAGCAATCTCACAGAAAAACGTCCGCCATTTCTACGAGTCGGTACCCAGCCGGATAACAGCTTGCATCAGGACCAGAGGCCGGCCACAGCTTACCGTTTTTTGATTACTCTTTTAGCTGCATTTCCGGAGTAAAACAACCGGCAGCGCTTCGTTTCCAATACATATATGTCACATCTACCGATTCGTACGATGACGCAGTACAGTTAGCAACACATCTAAGATTATAAATGTTCAGGCGTGACAGCAGTCATTCGTGAGAACGGCTGTTAGACGAGGCACGACACTCTACACAGCATCGAAGAGGGTTCACTTGTAATTCCTGTAATATAATGGCAAATAACTTCCTTTAATATGACTAATAACTTCGACCAAACGCCTGTGATTAAAGTAGCCCCATAACCGAAAGTTAAAAGCTGTAAAGTCTGGAGACCTGTGTGGGCATGAGCGACTGAGGGCACGATCATCGTCAAATATCGACGCAACAGATGCTGGACAGGAACTGTGCGAAGGAGAGTGCGCCTACATGAATGTTACATTATGGAGCACATGCCTCTCTTGCATGGACGAATGCTGTGATTTTAAAAGTGCTGTATAACGCTTAATTATTCTAGGAACAATTTGAAATGTCCCATTACGGACATCCTCAAAGAAAAAGGGATCTGTAATTAATGATATAGTGAACCCGAAACATGCTGCCATCTTTGGCGTATGCAAAGCGGTCAACCAAATTTCACGTGGGTTCTGTTTTGTTCAGATGCGGAACTTATGCATGGTTACACCTCCATTAAGCGAAAGTTACTACTTGTAACATTAGGTAATTTTACTCGAGACATTAGGTAATTTTTGGAAGCCGGAGAGATGAAAAATGAGCCTTCGCCGGGAATCGAACCACGGACTTCTGGAATACCGACCCAGCGTGCAGAACCACTACATCACGAAGGCACGCTAGGAAGGCGGGAGAAATAACTTATAAGTCTACAGGACGCTTAAAATTAGTCTGCATTGTTGTCATATGTTGAAAAAAAAGAATTTGCAAATTGCTACTGCCCATACTTTTCGAATTAATTAACTTTTACTATTTCTGTTACTTTTGGATTACCCAGTATATGTATACAGAGAAAGAGACTGTAAAAACCAAACAAAATTCGGAATGATAAAATTTTTAATTACTTCAGTAAAATAGTCAGGATTTTGAAAGAAGATATCGAATGATAAAACATAATTACCGGTATCCGTAAGCCGATATCTCCAACTACTTAACTGAATGGATTGACAAAGACACTACCAAAACCCATGGAAGAAATACCGAGCATTTTTACTTTAAATCATTAATACTCTCTGTGAACATAGCATATTTTGCCATCATAAAGTAGTCCAAATAATATATTTGCTTATAAAGTTATCTTTTCATAACATTGTTTTCGAAATTACTTTAAGTGTTAAATTTCAATGTTCTAAATATTCTGAATTTTATAAACAGGAATTAAATATGAATGCAGCTGAGACTAATTTATTATATTTTACGAAGAAACTTTTACATTACCTTAATTTAGAAACTTCATCCAAAATCTTTAAACCTGCAATGATAGAAAACAGAGTTAAATATACGTTCCCTAATAAGTAATGATCATCATAACTTGTAAAATGAAGTCTAAATACGAGATGACAGAAATATAGAAAATAAAAATAAATTTAAAAAAAAATAGAAAACAGGGAATAAGAAAACCTTTCTGAAAGAAAGACAACAAAAACTAATGTTTAAAACTAGGAATTTATTAAAAAAAGTATTGAGTTTAATTTACTTGTTGACGAGGCATGTTTTTTAGTCGCGACTAATAAATTTGACCAAGAAAGGCAGCAACAGCGAATTTTCGAATTCATAAAAAGTGACACTGTAGAGACATTAGGATTTTTTGCCGCTGAAGGACATGAATGAGCAATGCTTTCACCTGATATTTGCCTACAGCATGTGCATTCAGCTATGCAAAGAATCTATAATGGCTAATTCTAATGAGAACTATATCAGCTCGCTTAATAAGTTATTGGTCTGATCTTCAACATAGAAAATTTAATATTAAAATAAAAGAAAATGCTTAATGCGCATGTTAAGTGTGCTTTGATGTTTTACTGTATAGAGACATTAGGTAATTTGGAAGAAGGAAAGATGAAAAATGAGCAACCGCCTTCGCCGGGAATTGAACCGCGGACCTCTGGAATACGCACCCACCGTGCAGACCACCACAGCACGAAGGCATGCCAAGCGGGAGAAATACCTTATATACCCCCCCTTTTAAAAGGCTACTGGGATTTTTAGGGGAACCAATCGCCAAATACTGGGTGAGGAGAATCATCATCCACAACCTTTTTAGTTCGGGCGCCACTGTAGATACATTAGGTATTCTGGAAGCAGGAAAGATGAAAAATATGCAACGCCTTTATCAGGAATCGAACCACGGACCTCTGGAATACGTGCCCAGCGTGCAGACCACCCCACCACGAAGGCATACCAAGAAGGTGGGAGAAATACCTTATACTATTACAAATTGTCACATTTTAACTATTGTGTGGTATAGTGGTTAGGAAAGCCTATTACGATACCGAAGGGCCCGGGTTCGAATACTGAAGAAGGCATGGATGTTTGTAAATGTATAATATCTATGTGGCATAGGGGCACTCTAAATATGCGGCGAGCTGAAAGCCCTCTCGAGAGGTTGATGGTAGGGAAACAGGCGAGGGAGACCTTAGGACCCATCCCTCCCGGGGTGCTCTCCTTCGAAATTGGGGCGGAACTAAGCGAAGTCCTACTGTCACCTGTATGGTGCTCAAGGCTGTTGCCAACGACAGACACAAACTTGCTGTCCTTGCCACGCTGAATTTCGTGGGCTTGTTCTGATGTTACTGTCAGACAAGTGAGACAAGTCACAACACAACAGCAACTATTATGTTCATTAAAAAGACCGCTACCAGGTAAGTTTTGGTTTCTTGACTTTAATCTCAATAAGCTGTATTACAGAATGATTAGCGTAGTATAGTGATTCTCTGAAAATGCGCTAATAGGCGAAAAGAAATTTGATGCTTCATAATAGAAATGAATTATAATAATCATAAAAGATTTGCATTTCTGGAAGATCAGTTTCAGAATACAGAAAGTAAACACAATAGTCTCTCCTTAGCTAGTATTTCTTGAAGATTTTAGGAATTTAAAACAATTCTAACAGAAATACTATTTTGAATAAGAGTTAATATGATTTTTTTTTTTGAAATAGAAAGAATGTACGCAAAGCAGAGTTAATTTTTACCTTATTATCCCAAGACAGCACAAATCTATCAGAACTTTCATTATGGAATAACCATACCTACAGGACAACTTCAGATTTATTATTTCGTAAGAGCTATTTTATTGCTTGCAGTTAAACAAGTTTAACTCGAAAAGCAATTATAACCTATTCGTTAGCTTCGAAAACATTTCTCCGCTATTATAAAATGAACAATTATAAGATTCGATGTAATCATGGGAAATAAATAAATCAAACTACTGCCTTATTTCTTAAATGCCTTATTTCTTTAAAATTGTAATAGGAAAGCCAATGTCCTGCATGAGGATTAGGTCAGGGGTTTTTAATAAACGGGCTCTTCTTCCCTCGGAAGAATTTAATAGTTTCAAGGGGTGGAAATGCGGTCAGCATTTTATTTAGCTGTTATGTATCTAGTTTTAGTTTATGAATGTAAGAAACTACATTTATTCAACTTTTGGTATCAACATCTTCTACACATTTTTGTGAACTAAAAACACGTTAAAAAGTAATCGAAATTTTAATAAATGTATTTGTAAATCCGCAACGTTCATCGGTACTAAAACTTTCATTTTGAGGCAACAAAGACCTCTGCACCTGCCTAGTTACAGCACTGGCACCACAGCTATGCAGTGCGTAAAATATATTTCTGTACTTAATATACTATATGAGGTAACTTTCAACAATGAAAGAAAATATTTAAAGAATGGAAAAAAAAAGGGAGGTATTTGAGGCGTACAGTTATTCAGTACAAAACTGTAAAACACTACGAATGTCAGTTCTTGTTAACTTTTGTTTCCTCCTTCATAAAGTTCAATCACACATATATTTAAGTATACGTCACATACTTCTCGCAGGTTCGTTCTAAAAGCTCTTGATATGATTTTCCCCTTAATTTCCTGATTCTATATTATAAAAGAACAAAACTAACAAATCTTATCTCGTCTCTGAAACCCACGAAATGTAATAGAAAAACGACTTTTCCTTAACAAGTCAAGCTATTGTATGTCACATTTTTCAAATAAAAGTCTTCCTGGTTCTCTGTGTTTTCATAGATAACCAGCATTCAACCAAATAAAGTGGGATTACTCACCGATGTACTCGTTTCGAATGCGAATTCTATCTTTCAGAGACTTCGCTGATATTATGGTACAGTTCACAAAAGCAACGACAGCAGTCAGATATTCCAAGTCTGTTGAATTGTGCAACTCTTCTACGACAACTTTGAAACGATATCTTCCATTTATGGAAATCTGAAATTTAAATAAATCAATCAATAACGTTAACTGCGTTTTATTTATAGCAAAACGATTTATGGAAAAAAAAAAAACTTGCATAGCTTTAGAATCTGATTTGAAATATGTGGCGAAAAACATTTAAATTTTCGCTAATTACATTTACTTTACAAGGTGATATTTGTAACCTAATTTAAAGCATAGATTTTTATGTAGTTTATGCAAATGAAATCTTATCAATAGTATAGATATAAAACGAAATTAATTCTTTCCCTCTTTCAACAGGACATTTATACTACTTCTAAAATGTTTTTTTTTAATAGAATTACTTTCTTTGAAATAACATATAATTCTCCTAGACAAGAAATTTTAGAATAAAAGTTCAGAACTAAAAATACTTATTTGACCAAAGTGACTTTTAAGAAACTAAGGTAGAACTTAATAACTGTCCTCAGATCAATGTTAGAAAAATTTAATACGCTCCGAAACTCTCAACGTTATAGCCCAGTATTAAAATTGGTATAATTTATTTGTAGAAATAAAATACTTTATCCAAGTACAGAATAATAAATAAAAGACACGTAATTCATTATAATTGAGAAACTGAAAAAAAAAAAAAAAAAAAAAAAAAAAAAAATGCTTTATGCGTTCAGTAGAATCGATTTAGTAGAATGATTTGCGACTTGTAGGAAGTTCGATTGGTGTGGTTTGGTTTATTTCATTACGGCAAAAGACCCGAAGGCTATCTGCCTAAGAGGAGGAATGCCTTCATGGAGGAACTTTGTAAGGGAAACTGGCTCGTATACACTTTACACATGGGAAATACCACGAAAACACCCACGCAGCCAGCCCGTTCTCGGGATTCGAACCTCAGACCGAACTACCAGTGTTCAGCGATTTTACCGCTTGGCCGCTGGTAAGCCTGTAGGAAGTTGAAAGGATGCCATATTCAGATCTAAATAAAAGAACTATATTTATGAACTATTTTGTTAAAATAATGAAATCTGTATGCCTTCCTTTACATACTATTTTCCAGGCGCATTATTTCTATAAAGTCCAGTTCTTATAAATTTTTAAGAGCTACTTTAGTACTTTCGATACTCAAGTTTTATTGCGAAAATATTTAAAAAGTGGAAGTTTCAGTCATTAGAGTAAAGATTTAAAGAAATTCATGCTATCCAGAAAGCGGGCTCTTTGAATATGAAAGCAAAATAGGAGATTTTTTTCCGTTTAGAGTGAGTATTGTTTTAAAAGAGAGGATTTCGTTAACAATCCAAGCGGAACATTTATAAGGAATTACGTTTCCTAGAGAAGGTATGCCTTTGTAGAGGACGTTTTAAGGAAAACTGGCTCACACACCAGTGACACTTTCGAAAAATCACGAAACTGAACCATTCAGCCAACCGTTCGTCTGGGCTAGAACCCAAGTAAAACTAACCAATATTCAGTGGTCTTAACCACTCGCGGAGCCGTGGGTATTCCAGTTATTATGAAGCACTATTTAAATGCAATTTAGGTGATGATTTTAGAGCGTTATTTTGGTTTATTGTTATATGCCAATCAAAAATAAAATTATGATCATATTAAAGCCTCCCCTTGCTTATTTGTTTTTTGAAACTGTACGGCTACGTTACTTTGGAGAATAGTATTTTATTCTTAATTAACCTTTCCTATTTTTCTGAGATTTCTCAAGCTTCCTCCAGAAAGACAAGGAAGTACTTAGATGAGCATACGGTAAGTGAAAGAAAACTGCAAGCATGATTCATGTGTGAGAGAATTAACTGGTCGGCGTAATCTGCCAATAGATTAACATAACATTGTATTAAATTATGAGGAATTTAAAAGTTACTATAGGTAAATAGATTATTTTAAGTTAAAGCCTTCTTGTAGTGCGGGTTTGCCTTTACGCTATAAGGCTTATATACGGGAAGGGATGCCTTCATAAAGGACTGTTGAAGGAAACAGGCTCGTACTCGCGTTACAAATAGAGAAGATCATAAAAACTCCCGAGCAGCTAGTTCATTCCTGAACTACCAGTAGTTAGAGATTTTACTCCTTGGCCGCTGCTGGACCTTTCACTTTATAAGGTATTCCTTACGCCTTCTTAGCCTGCCTTCGTGGTGTAATGGTCAGCCCAATGGGCGCGTATTCGAGAGGTCGAGTCCTCTCGCTGGGGTTCGAGTCCCAGCAAGGGCATTGCTCATTTTTCCTATTTCCTGCTTCAAAAATACCTAATGTATCTACAGTACCCTCCTTTTTTTAGTTCGGGCGCCACTGTAACGACATTAGGCTATTTTAAACAGAAGACATGAAAAATATGCAATGCCCTCGTCAGGACTCGAACCTGGAACTCTCGAATACGCGCCGAGTGTGCTGGCCATTACACCACGAAGGCATGCAGAAAGGAGGGAGAGTCACTTATAATTTCATTAATGGAAATGATTTTATCAGGTTCAATGTTTCTTCTAACCTTCTTCGGAAACATACAATGACCTGACTAGGAACAGAGAGCTTACTAAAGCTATGTTCACTAATTGTAGTAAGTAGACAGGATACAGACGAAGGGTATACAAGACCCTTTATTTTTTTTTATATACAATGACTTCCGTACTTCGGAATACAATGACCCTCCACTCGGGGTCTAACGTAAAAGGTATAAAAATAAAACTAAACTCTAATTTAACTTTAGAATAAGATTGGCCTTATAATAACAGGAAGCGTATGTAGCACAGAGACTGTGAACACTACAATACGTTTAAATTTATCAAGAGGATTAAAACCTCTGGCCTGGAAGGCAAATAGCAACTGCGTAACTTCTAAGGTAAGCGGCCTGCTTCGAAACTCACTGCTTCCTCTCTCCTGCTTGGCAAAAAGGCCACACTTAAATACTTGGCGTTCGCCAGACAACTTTGCATAAAATCCTTCACGCTTATAATTCTGGCCGGAAGTAGAAAAAATAAGAAGTGATAGTAAAGATTTAAAATAAAATAAAACGTTAGTAAAACTTAAGATCCTTACATACTTCCCGCCAGAGTTAATTTGTTTGAAACTGAGGTCTAAAAACGACCTTGTTGAAAAACTTTTAGCTCTAAAAACTAACGCGAGGCCAACCTTTTTACAATCATAACTTAGCTAGAAACTAGAAAATTTAAAAGAAAGAAATTTGTTACAATAGCAGCTCCCGGATATACAACAATCTTTTTTTTTTTTTTTTCATCTGTACTGCATCTAAACAGGAGCTTTATTCAATTCTGGTTCCTTCCAGAGATCTGGAAGGAAAACTAGTTTAATGAAATGTTACAGAATGACATTGCAATTAACATATAGAATATACTTCTCTTAACATTCTTATTTCATTCATGACTATTTTAATTATCTCTCCCCGTGCTCTCTGACATGTGTTGTAAAAGAACACCAAACACGTATGTGTTTCTGTCTACGTGTGCCACACTTCCTCCTACAATCAAAACACTAACGTGTTAAAATTCAACATACGAGACCTCTTAACACACCCTACTTTCAACTCTAAACCCAGAGGTACTATTCTGAAAGTGGCTAACTCTAAAGTGTAGCGTCAGAGAGCCTAACTACATCATTCAACCTTTAACACATATTCACCATGATTTAATCTTTACAGTCACACACGAATAACAAATTTTTAACATTACTTTCACTTTTACCATATCACGGTATTTCTTAACATTCAAAATAACAGTTCACATGTATACAAGAACATATCAACATGCCGTTAATTTTACACATTTGAAAACATACATTAGTAGTACATTGTTAACTTCTATTCTTTTCAAAGCAAGTGCCAATTCTTTCTACATTGAAATAATACTACATTTCAAAAAGTCTTTCAGACTAAAACTTCTTTCTTGCTAGAATGTTTTAAATAAAATTTATACAATAACTTTTTACAATATTTAAGTCTTTACACAACGCTATTATACATCAACTTTAGTTTTACGCGCGAGTAATTGAAAAACATAATAAGAAAAATCGGTCACAACTCATTTCTCGCCCTTTTGGCGATAAAGGTAGACCTCGCATGAGGTAAAACTTCTTGAAATCTGCCACTTGCAGTAAGAATGGAAGATTAACTTAAGTTTGTAAAGTAACATAAAATTTTACTTATCTTTGTAATATTCAGACATCCTTTTCTGGGCCCAGTCTATAAAGGTATAGCAGATAGTAGCTTGGTTGATCCTCCTTCTTGTACGGGCTCGCCCTTCAGTGCTTTCCTCTGGAAGCTTCCGTTTTTCACCAGTACGGCCACCCTTGAACACCTTCCTTTTGTGCTCTGCTTGTGGTCTTGGCCGTTTGAAGGCAGCTGGTCTTGGTGGAACCGGGAAACTTCTGTCGTGATCCTGCTTGGACCTCGTTGTTGGCCGTTCAAATTTTCCTTGTAACTTTTCCTCCGCCGCTGATGGCCCTTCCGCAGTTCGGCGACTTTTGCTGCGGAGCGGAGAGTTCTGTCGGATGAGTCAATCTTCCGTTTCACAGCCGGGTTATAGTTGCCGTCCTTTCTCCCGGTCCTTTCCACATACGTCGTCCTTCTCCCTTCTTCATTCTGGGGGTGTTCGTGCACTCTGTTTTCTGGACGGTGGAACGGCTTCTTTTTTTTTTTACCTTCAGTTTTTCCGCGGGGCAATTTTCTTTTCACTTGCTTCTGTCTCTCATTGGCTTGCCCTTGTACTTGTCGTTTTCCCACCTCTGGAACTTGTACCTGCGGTGTCTGCCGTACCGGATCCTGCAAAAGATCTGAAAAGATTTTCATTTTATTACGATCGAAGTAGGGTTTAATTTGATCAATATTTGCGGAACAGGTTTCACCATTTCTTGCCTTTAACACTACAACAGCGTGAGTTATTTTTTCTATAACATATGGTCCTTCAAAGCGTGGAAAAAATTTGGCAGTTTTACCTTCTGGTGCTGAAGAAAGTGAATGCTTGATTTTTAAAACTTCATCCCCTACTTTATAAGTTACTCCCCGTCGTTTCAGATCATAGTAT